TTCTCTCATTCCAAGGCAGTCATTTCCCCTCTCCTGGAATCTGAGATAGCCCTGTGGCTGACTGATAAAATACTGTGTGTGTGATGTTATGTGACTTCTGAGCCTGGGTCTTAAGACATGAAAACTGTCATGTCAATAACTCAGGTTAGACTGCTGAATGGCCTGGGACCAAGGCAACAGAGAACGCCCAGCCTTCTAGGTGTCCCCAGAAATGCCCCTGCAATGTGGGAAAGTCCAGATTGGACTTTCAAGCCTAGGACAATCTAGCTGCCAACTCTATGCAACCAGGTGAGTGACCTCAGGAAGACCATCAAAGAATGCCCAGCCAGCCCAAAGAATGGAGAGAAATAATAAATTGTTGTTGCTGAAGTTACTAAGTTTTGTGAAACTCTGGGCTGAGTATCTGAGCTCTCTCAGTAAACTTTTGGGGGCAAGGACACTGGCTTACAAGACATCTTGTGCTGCTTGTATCCTTGATCATCCAAATGCCACGAGCAGATGTGACTTACCCCTGCCTAGTCAGTGATGCAGGAGGCAAACAAGTAAACAAGGACCATCAATCCCAGTGTCTGAGACCCTGGCCCCACCAATGACATGTTCAGCATAAAGGCCACTTCATTCTACTTTCTGCTTAATAACCGGGAAAAAGAGGATTAGTAATACTGTTATCTGTGATACTGGGATAAACGAGAAAGTTCAGGGAAAGGGAGTTCTGTCCCTGGGACATTCCAAGGTAAATGATTATATATACCCTGCAACTCAAAGGGCAGAAAAGAAAAATTTGAATGTTATCATTAAGCCAGCTCAGACCCAGGCCTGGTGGCAAAGGAGCTAGGTTACCCTGAGAATACTGTCATTCTAGGATTCTTTTCAAGGCTTCACCTCCTGAACACCCGACTCAGCACCCAAAGGCCAGGATAGGAAGATGAGTAACATTGCTGGGAAAGAACTTCCCTTCTACCGCAGGGAACAAACATGTAAACAAATACACGTGACTCATTTGTCATGAATCATAACGGAGGAAGAACATGCGCGGGGCTCTGAGACCCAAAAGGGACAGGTTTTTTGTTTGTTTGAACATGAAAAATCTCCGTGTACAAATGAACATTCTTTGTTAAAAACTTTCCCCCTGGGAAGCAATCTCTTTTCCATACTGCTGTCCCATCCTCACTCCTCCTCTGTAAGGATATCAAATAAAGACCCATACAAGAAAATGCCTCACTGCTTTATACCAACAGAAAGACATGGTATGCCACCCTGCCTGTCCTTTTACCAAATTTGGTAACGAAGGACCTTTTTGTTCTTTCAGAAAAAATTATGTAAGTTAAAAAATCAAACTCCTCTTTCAAATCAGGCCCTGCCAGCAGCCTCTGAAGATGTTGGAAGACAACAAGAAGAACAAAATGGAAGCCTTGGAAGGCAATTAAAATCTCATGGCTACGTGTGCATTGTTAGCACGGAAGGCCTAGTGGCTGACAACTTGGATCAAGTGAGATCATACAAGTTCTACTGGTTATGGAGGGCGGGGGGTGTCTAACTAATTGTTTGATTCTATGGCTACAACTCTGATACTTCTAATTCTATTTCAGGTGTGTCTGCTTCTTCCTAAGCAGCAAGCCAAGCCCCTAGGGTAGGACTGTTTTCTGGTTCTGGATGCAGCGAAAGCCTTAGAACCAGGCAGGCTGATGGGCATCAGAGGGACTTAGGGGTGCTCTATACCAGGGTCCCCTGGTCAAAGTCTTTAGTGAAGGACACAATGTGAAATGTTCCAAATGCTTTAAAGATTATGTTGGCTAATTGAATTTAAGTAAAAAAAAAAAATGCTTTAAAAGAAAGCTTAGATCAGTGTGAGAAGAGGGCCCATTATATTTCCCTCATTGCCTTAATGTCCAAGTTCTTTTAATGAGACTCTAGTCCTTAATAGGGTCCTTAATAATGAGACCCTAGTCTTATTAGAGTTACTATAGACCCTGGGCAATCAGGAGACATAATCTTCCCCTGGATGACTGAGGCCTCAGGACACTGGCTGTGCTCTAGCTTCCGTGCCCAGCCCGCCTCCTCCTCTTCCCAGCACTATCTGTTCTATAGCCAAAGACTTGGGAGCTGCTCCAAGGTAAGCTTCCTGGGCACAGACTTTGTTTGTCTAAACCAGGGTGCCATGAACACCTGTACCTCTGATTAACCTTATCCAGGTACAGGGTTTAGGTATAATTACCAGCCAAGCAACCCTGGAGGCTTTGGGGTCAAACATCCAACATGGAATGGGGGACATGGAGGTTGATGGGAGTGGAAGGTTTCTGACCCATTCAAAGATTCTGCTGGACTTGGTGGGATGAGCACTGGGTGTTATGCTATATGTTGGCAAATTGAACTCCAATAAAACAAAACAAAAACAAAAACAAAGATTCTGCTGGTCTATTGTGTCATTGATCATTTTTAAGACTCCACAGGCTCAAATATTCATATACAAAACTCCTTTTAACAAATTTCTCTAAAGTTCTCCAGACTTCTAACCAGATCAGTGGATTAGCTTGTGAAAGGTTAATGACCATGAGAAGTAAACTGGCGTCTTACGGATCAAATCAACTGCTGTTTCTGTTCCTCTGGGAATGAACACCACAGTGCCATTCTCAGCAAAAGTGACCTGTGGACACTCTGATAGCTCCTGGCACTTGCAAATAAGCTACTATCGGCACCTGCACAGACTCTTTCTGGACCCTGGTCTGAAAGCTGATGCCAACCCAACCTCAAGAGTTTACCTGGTTAGAAGCATCACTTTTTGCCAGACCCCAGAGGTCTGAAAAGGTGAGGGAAGCCATATTCCTGAGTATTCAGTGTGGTACTTAGATCAATCACTGGGAGCTGGTTAGAAATGTAGAATCTCAGGCCCAAACCCAGAACCTACAGAACCAAAGGCTGTATTTAAATGAGGTCCCCAGGTAATTCATATGTCCATTGAGGAATGAGAAAATAACATAGACCAGAACAAAAGGGTGCCAGAAATGACCTTAGGTTAAGCTTCTTTGAGGGTAGGGTAAAGACCAGAACAAAAGGGTGCCAGAAATGACCTTAGGTTAAGCTTCTTTGAGGGTAGGGTAAAGTTGGGCTTTGGAGGAAGACTGCAAGCCTTGGCTCACTGAGGCAGACCAGACTTAATGACATTAGCAAGAAGCAAGGTGTGTTTTTCCAAGTTATGGACTGTGAGCTGTGCCTGTCCTGCTGAACACCCCAGAGAAGAAAGCTGGCTTTAGGCTCCTGGCACTGCTAGCTCCCTTCCAGTTGGCCTCAGAAACAAAGTTATGCTCTGACCCAGGAGACCCTTTCCAACTAAAGACCTTCCAAGGGAGATTTGTTGTTGTTTACCAAAACAAAAACAAACAAAACAACACAACCCTCCATTTCCCAGTCCAGTGTGAGAAGTGGATCAGAGTTCCCTGTAAACAGTAACACTGGCCATGGCGTCCAACTGACCTGTCCCCATGCAGCAACGAAGAGTACAAAAAAGGGCACCTGAGCCTTCAGGCCTGCCTCAGTGCCCACTCTGGACAGATCAAGTAGAGATTCACACCCCTCACTTAACAGAAATCCAAAATAGTCCAGGACAGATCCTGGAAGGCACAACATGACACAGAGAACGCCCACCAAAGGGGTCACAAAAGACGTTTTGCAGGGATAGAGAATTTGAGTCAAGGGTGGAGCAAAGGCTCACTGAGAACTTTCCCTTTGATCATTTTTAATAAAAGAGAGAGCATTTACCCCTTTATGCTTGGATACTATTTCCTGTTCAACCTGAGAAACCATGTGACGTTGGATAAGGGACATGTGTTTTCAAGTTTGGAGCCTCTGTGAAACAAGTACATCCATAATCCCTGACAGTTCTAACCTTGTATGTTTTGGATCAACCGGCGGGAGACCTCGGATCTGTCAGTGTTTGCTGGTGGTGGGACTGCTGCCTGAGAAAATAAGCATGTGGCTCCCAGACGCTGGCAAGGGACGAGGCTGCCGCCCCGCCTGCGACCACTTGCACCCGTGTCTCTCCACGGAGCGCCACTATTTGCGGCGGCGTTTTGGTGCAGTCTGGGCCGGAGCGGTGGAGGAAGGTGGAGGGGAGAAGGACAGCGGGTGAGGGCAGAGGGACGAGGATCGCAGGGAAGTGGTGAGCCACGAGGATTTCATCATGCAAACGGGCGGGCAGGTTTCATCAGCGCCTGTGCGCCGGAGCTCCGGGGCTGGGAGGGAATGCCTGGCTCCCGAGGGCAGCCCAAGGCTGGCCCCCACCCGTGCCAGCTCAGCTTCCTCTTCCTCATACACTCTTAGGGAGGTCACACGGTTCCCCCTCCCCCCCGGACCGAAGAACGTGTTTTTCTGCACAGCCCTGCCCGCGGCTCCGGGTCCCTCTGCGGAGATAGCACACGCGTACGCCGGCAACCTGGCTCAGGTGCAGGTGAGGCGCTGCTGGAGCAGACGGGGCCGTCAGCCCAAATCCTCCGTCAGAGGGTGCTGGCCCAGTGGAAAACTGGGGGTGCCCCGGGAAGGAAAAAGGATTCTGCAAGAGTCGTTTACCCCGACAGAGAACGCCCGTCCCCATCCCCTAAAAGCCCCAGGCCAGGCCTCCCCTTGCTCTCAGGCCACTCTGACCCCACGCTATTCTGCCTCAGAAGGCCCCCAAACCCACAAGGGGCAGCACACCCTGGCATGTGGTCGTTCTGCAAGCGTGCGGATGTTTCCGTATACTCGGTTGTCTCTCCCAGGAGGAGGAAACTCAAGGAGCAGTTTGCAGTCCGGGCTCGGGGGGGACGCACCCAGAGGGTAGGCAATGGGCAGCGACCATCTGCTCGCTCCTGGTGGCCACCTCCGCGACCCTCGCTGCCTCCCTGATGCGCCTTATTGCAGTCACCGCGCCCCTGAGCTCGGTCGCCCCGTCCAACCGGCGGCTCCCGACCCCTCCCGCTCCGCTCGGTCAGCCCTCCGCACCGCCCGCTCTCGGAGCCCGCGCCTACCTCCCGGGGTGGTGCTGAAGAGCGTGCCGCCGGGGGTGGTGCTGTAGTCCCCGGGCGGCAGCTGCACGCCGTCGCCGAGGACCACCCGGCGAGTGGCGGGGATGGCCCGGCTCGGGGTCTGGCTGCAGCTGCTGCCTCCGGACATGGTCTCCCGCGCGCCGCGCCCGCAGCCCGAGCCTGGCCCGACGGCCGCCCCGGGCCCGCCCACCTCGCCCCGCCCCTTCCGCCCCCGCGGCGCGGCGCCCCCCGGGAGTTGTAGTCCCAGCGGCGCCGCGGCGGCCGGGCTGCCGGTTGGTGCGTTCTTCCGCACCCCCGCTCTGAGGCACCCTCTCGCGGTCCGCGGTCTCCTCCGCGCGGCTGCGGGCGCCGCCCCCCGACGGCCCGCCGCTCCTGCTCGGGAGTCCGTCCGGTCCGGCTGGCGGCGGCGATGGAGCCGGGGGCTTGTGTGGGTTAACGGCTCGCGGCCGGGTGCTGTCAGAGCTGTGCGGGGACCCTTGCATACAGGAGGGTCCTGTATGGGCAGGACGGTCTCCTTCAGCCCTCCGTGTTCCGCGCTTCGGTTCCTGCCGTGAGGACGTGGGGCTCGGGCGCTCCTTCACCCCTCAGGGGTTTTTTTGAGCCTTCGCGGGGCGCAGAAGTAACGCAGAGGGGGCGTTCTTTGGCGTGGGGGAGGGTGTGGGAGGAGCGTGGACGGGCCGCCCAGCTGGTTTGCAGGCTACAGCTCCAGCCCACGGGGGCGCTGGGAGGGGCTGGACGTGGGGGGGGGGGAGAGTTGGTTCCTTGCGGCCCTGGGAGCTGTGAACCAGGGCCAACAGGCCGCCTGACACTTAGTAGGGCCCTCATCGAACCAGCCAGTGAATGAGGCTTCAAGGAGCTCTCCAAGTGGAGACTGAAAAATACCCCTCTCGCCTGTGGGGTGAGAGACCAGGTCTGTCATTGCAGCAACGTGATACAAGGGGAGAGGAGACAGGAGGACAGTTTATTTATTTATTTTTAGATTTTATTTATTTATTTATGAGAGACACACAGAGAGAAGCAGGCTCTCCCTCTGCCCCAACCCAATTTGGGACTCAGCTCAGGACCTGAGCCAAAGGCAAAGGCTCAACCACGGAGCCTCCCAGGTGCCCCACGAAGAACAGTTTAAAGGATAAATTGGGGTCTGATTGTGAAAGTTTTTTTTTTTTTTTTTTTTTTTTTGGTGAAGGGTCTTTTAAATCATGCCAAAGTGTTCAGACTTTGTCCTAGGAGGGTAGGAGATATCAGAGATCTCTTAAGCTAGGGAGTGACATAATTAGGGTTTAGTTGGTGGTGTTTGTTTGTTTGTTTGTTTCCCCAGAAAGATAACTGGAGGCTCTGGAGTTTGAGAATGGACCCCAGACGGGGTCAGAAACACAGATAGGAAGACTGGCTGGGTTTGGGCATTCCTGAGCTAATCTCTAGACCTCCACTGCCTTCTATCGACGCTGGCCTCCTGTGCCTCTAAAGCAATTGAAATACAGCTAGTCCATATTACAAGTGTAAAATACATAGATTTCAAAGATGTGCCATGAAAAAATGTAAAATATCTTAGTGTCTGTTAATGACATGTTGAAATGATATTTTGAATATATTGGATTAAGTAAAATATTAAGATTAATGATTCCTGTTTCTTTTTACCTTTTTGGGTGGAATTATAAGAAATTATATGTATATAATGTATATATATATATATATATATATAGAGAGAGAGAGAGAGAGAGAGAGAGACCTCATAATATATTTCTATTGGATAGTACTGCTCTAGAATGAGGCAATAATGAAAGCAATCCTGAAGTTCTTGGAAACTTCCTTCCAGAAAACTATGCAATCATCAAATTTTAGCTTTGGCCATGTACACCATAGGTCATCCAGAACAGCATTCACCACCATTTAATTAATTAATTAATATTTATGAGGAAAACCCTAGTAATTAAGGAAGGAAAACTTTTCATTGGCACTAAGGTCAAAAAGAAATTCCAAAATAATTCAATACTTTGTATATAATTTTAAGCTAAGTTTTCTTAAAAGTCTCTCCTGGCCAAAGATTCAAAACTAAAATTATCTGGAAGAGTAAGTGTAATATATCTTTCATATGAGCCTACATATGTATTTTCTTCAGTTGGGGTTTTTACAAATTAAGCTAAAATATACTAACATATGGCAAAATCGTATAGTTCTAATATCCAGAGCTTTCCACATCTTTTTTTTAAATTCACCACTGTCTTATTTAAAAAACAAAACCCATAGTCTTAGAGAGGGTCACACAGCTATGAAAGACCTGAGGCAAAGCTAGGTGACCCAGTCTCCCCTTCTTTCCAGGCCTGCCCTTTTGTTGCCACACTAGAAAACAAAGTGGTCCATCCTCCTGCTTTAGGAGGAACTGGTTTGAAAGGGGGCTTGTTCAGATGCCTTACTGGATGTGCATATTTGGTTAGAGCTGAGCTTCCAAGGATGGCACCAGCTTAGATCAACATTTGCAATGATCTGCGCACACACAGGTTGGAGAAGCTCCCACCCATATTGCTCTACCTGACCTATAGGTAGAGAGGGATGAGGGACTGATTTTATCATTTTAAGTAAGTGGAATTTCTCTGAGTAGCCAACCAGGTGTAGTCCTGAAGCAGTCACTGTTTTTCTCTCCAGTGTTTTTCTCAACACATCTCTACTGAGCTGGACCAATTGGGCACCGCAAGAGTGAGAAGCGCCTTCAGATTCTCTACATCACACTACAATAGAGGCTGTTTTAGGAAGCCCCTCAGGTTAGGGAGGAGCTTGGCAGTGGGAGAAAAGTGACCTGTGTGTTAGTGTTAATCCATTCCTAACAGTTATTTGATACTGAAAATGTTCCCCCTTCACTGCTGGAAGTCCTTCACGTTAGCTAGAGCAACCTGTCACCATGGCCCCAATTGCCTCTGGAGGCTACGGTATTTTCTTGTATAATAAGGGCTTCCTATACTTTGCCCCAGATCAAAATTGAACCATTTAAAAAAGACATATTCAAAACAACCCCCTCCAAAAAAAACGCTCATAGATAGAGAAAACAGATTGGTGGTTGCCAGAAGCAGAGCAGGGATGGGGAGGAATGGGTGACGGAGGTCAAAAGGTAAACAAACAAACAACAACAACAAAAAAAACAAGCCCTGTTAAAGAAAACAGGTAGATTCTCCACTGATAAGAGGATAAACAGACTACCATTGAAAAGAAACATATCTTACTGTGATAAATAGCTTTGCCATTTGTTATGGGAGGCAAAGCAGAAGTGAGAGTCATGGTGTTATGGCCGATGAGCACCAAGGGGCTAAATTTGGGGGGGGTGCGAAGACACAGTGTGGAGGTCATATGAGCTAACTTTTTTTTTTTAATGTTTTATTTATTTATTCATGACAGAGAGAGAGAGAGAGGCAGAGACACAGGCAGAGGGAGAAGCAGGCTCCATGCAGGGAGCCCGACGTGGGACTTGATCCCCGGTCTCCAGGATCACACCCCCGGCTGAAGGCGGCACTGAACCGCTGGGCCACTGGGGCTGCCCTGAGCAAACGTTTTTAACAGGAGTCTGTTTAAAAACAAAATTCTGCCAAGTGAATTTGAAGATCTAATTGACTTGATTAAGTGATTTGCGAATTGGGCAGCACCTATCAAGCAGAAGGATGCTCCTAGGAGTTATATAAAATGGAGGGTTTTTATAGGAAAGAGGGAAGGGCAAGGACATTATTAGCAAAGGAAAAGATTGTTACATCTTTTTGAGGGGGAAGGGACAGCAGGCTTCTTATCATGTGGATTACCCTACTAGAGCTGATCGGTAAATTTTATTTTATTTTTATTTTTTTTTAATTTTTATTTATTTATGATAGTCACAGAGAGAGAGAGAGAGAGAGGCAGAGACACAGGCAGAGGGAGAAGCAGGCTCCATGCACCGGGAGCCCGACATGGGATTCGATCCCTGGTCTCCAGGATCGCGCCCTGGGCCAAAGGCAGGCGCCAAACCGCTGCGCCACCCAGGGATCCCTGATCGGTAAATTTTAGATTGACTGTTAAAAGTTCAGTTCTTGGGGAGGTTCAAACTGCAATTAGGTCTTCGTTGGCTGTGGTTGGGCACAATGACTTCATTTTGGGCTTCTAGTTTTCTTTTAACAATTAACAATGGTGAATTTAACATTTTAATATGGTTTCAAGGCTCAAGAGTTTACCAAAAATTCTTGTGGCTCAGAGCAAGGTCTGCGGTCTTTAAAAGGACCTCAAGAGAAGGTTCTCAGGCTTAAAATCATCTTCTTCCCATGTGGGAACAACACCCTGGTGCTGGCAAGTGCTGGGGGTGACCACCTGGGATTTGCTTGACCTTGCTCTTCTCTGGGCTCTGGGCGTGTCCACCTGAGGTTTCGTGTGCTGGCTGGGAGAGTAAAACAGCAGCGAGCCTCTGGTGGCAATTGAAGAGCAGTACTACCATGGTCTCCATGGATCAGTGGGAAACCAGCTACTGGGACCTAACCAGCCCTTGGCTATATCAATTAGGGTCACTCAAATTGGGTAATCTGAAGAGAATTTGATAAAAGTATGATTTACAAAGATGTAGGATGGAGGTAGGGAAACCATAAGGTAAACTGTAGTATTTGGGGCAGAAGATATGGGTACTGAAATCAAGAGACAAAGAGAGAACACTTGAGAGTGTGCACTTTTGAGCATAAGCACAGGCTCACTGTATGGAGTGGCCACACCAGAGCTGTCACCTTCAGTCCTGGCCAGACACAAGGACGGAGCTAGGAAGCAGAAACTCACACCTCTCTGATCTCCAGCCCTCTACTTTTCTGCCTGACTCCCTACTGGCCTAATCCATCTGGAAGACAAAGGACAGGGAGAGCCCAACCTCCTGGGGCATAGAACAGGACAGAAAAGAATGGAGATTGGATCTATAGGAGCAACAGAAGATTACAGCACAGTGGAATAGAGAAAAAATCAGGAGCCGAGTGCTGTGTGGAGCAATCCAGAGCCAATCCTGATCCTGAGCAGATGTGTGTGTGCATGTGCGGAAAGTGTACTGACCCTCACAACACACTTCTTGTTTTGGGGTGATGGCAATGACCCATGTCCACAATCGTCTTGTGTACAAGGTGAAACGCCAAGGTCCTTGGTCCCCAAATGTTCCTCCCTACCACCACATATCTTCTCCACTCACGGGT